GGGAGCCATAATCTCCCCATAACTGCCAGGGGACAATGACCTGCTGGGTATCCCCATGCACGTTCAACAAGAAGCATCAGATTTCCCCCTGTCCTGAAGCAGTTGTTGCCTAGGTAGGGAATTTCATCAAAATCCTGTGCAGGTGTAGAAAACCTTCAGGTGTGGGGTGTCTAGAAGAGAGGAGGGAATGAGAGGCCCTGCGTGGCTATATCAATCCTCTTCCAAAGCAGCAGCAAATTCAGGTTTTTCTGCCACCAATCCAGGTGTGGCCGCCCACCACCTCACCAGCCCACACTATCTCTTTGCAGGGAACAGTCAGCCCAGCATGGGACCACCATCCTACATGTCTCATGGAATATCTGCAATGCATGGACTCCATAAGCTAGGGGTTTTTTTAATTAACTCTGTTTTAGTATTCTCTGGGAATGCTAGGTTGAAACTGCATTAGATAGAGCCACCCACAAATCTTCTTTTCTTTGTGACTGAGATTCAAGCAGCATCTTCAGAGAGAAGAAACTGTTGGACTTGGGCTGGGGTCAAGAGCCAAAAAAAAAAGCCATCCTGGTAGCCAGGCTGATCTTCAGGTAGAGGTTGAATGAAAGTCTGGGTTGTCAATCGGAAAAATGCATTTTCTCCTGAACTATCTATTTGTGCCTAATTTGGGCATTAACACCAAGGGAAAATTTATATAAAGGTCTTCTCATCAGCCTTCTCCTCTGTGAATGGATTCCTGTGGCCATTATGATCACTCTGATCTGATTCAAGTGAGATCTGAACTACCAGATTCGTATTTACAGAGTCAATTACCCATCTAACTGCAAGCATATGCATGCCACTTAAGATGAAGAGGTACTTCATCAGTTTCATTTTTGCATGTGTAAATTAGTAATAATAATAAATTCACCTATCTCACGAGGCCATTGCAGATTAAAGCATTAATGTTTGTACAGCACTTGGAGGTTCTCCAATGGGAAATTCTGTAGATGTGCAAAATATTGAGCTTTGTCTGTGATAAATTTATTATTAGCTTAATAGTATTCCACTCTTACTATGAAAAGCATAATCATCTTGAGATTTTCCTGCTTGTCACATGAAAACAGACATTGTACCTGGTTTGGAAATGCATTTTTCTCCTTCTAATTTCTTTCCAGTGTTCATACATACCCAAGTGTGGCAAGAATTATGAAGAATCCATGTCACTGGTGAACATCGTGATGGAAAACTTCAGAAAGTACCAACGCTTCTCCTGTTTCTACGACCCTGAAGGTGTTCAGAAGAACGTGATATTAACCAAACTGTACAGCTCCAACGTGCTGTTCCACTCCCTTTTCTGGCCCACCTGCGTGATGATCGGCGGGGTCGCCATCGTCGCGATGGTAAAGCTGACTCAATACCTTTCCCTCCTCTGTGAGAGGATCCAAAGGATCAACAGATAAAACCGAAAACGTCTCTGAGATTTAATTACAGCTAAAATACTGTTTTCTCATTCTTCACCAAAGAACCTTAAGTTTGTAACGTGCAAGTCTGTTATCAGTTCCTTACTATATTCTTATAAGTAGAGCAATAATGCAAAAGCTGTTCTATATGCAAACATGATGTTATTATTATGCAGACAACTGAAAAAAATACTGGTTTGTGTTGACCGTCTATATGATCTTGTTTTATGCTGAGACTAGTACTTCTTTATTTTCTACAGCCAAAATAGGGCTCAGTGTGACCATTTGCCAAGCTTAGTTAATTGACATTTTCAATGTAAAGGATTCTGGGGAAAATTCACCGCCGGACAAAGGGCAGCCAACCTGCGCATCCCTAAGGTCTCATGTCCAGCTCGGTCCATTCAATGGGCTTGTGACTTTACTTTTATTATTAGCTGCAGGGGGGAGGAAAAGGCACTGATAGGATTTTTTTTTTTATGGCAAGGTGGCAGAAAAGGGAGATATTTTGAGTCCAGGATAAACATACAGTATTTTCAGCCTAAGTGGGACTTGGTGATGCTTTGTGTTTGCTCCCCCAGTTCAGAAGTAAATTTTACTCTATGGTGTTTAAGGTCTTTTGCAAAACACTGTGGGGTTTTGTTTTATTTAGCACTATAATTTCATTCTGTCTTATCAACATCATCTTTGTCACAGAAGCTGTAGCCAAAAAAACCCAACAAAAATCACCATGTTCCATTTTCTATTGTAATCTGAGCCCTATTGACAGAGAAGGGACCAGAACTCCTTACCATAAAGGTTTATTACTCATTTGTCTTGTATTTGCTACCATATCACTGTAAAGAGAAAAATAACACAATCAGCTATTTTTTCATTTTTTACTTCCAACTATTTTAGATTTTTTTACTTGATATATATACAGATATATAAAGAAAAAGTTATATTATATCTAGTTGTGTATTGGAACTTGATTGGGGGTGGGGGGTGGGGGGATGTTCTTTGTTTTTACCAACTGGAAAGTGAACAGTATAAACTCATGTATTTATAACCTTCATCCTTGGATAATATCATAACATGGAGGAGCAGCACTGCAGGATCTTATCCAATATTCATGATGTTGTTTCAGTCAAAGGTCCCTGTTGCTGTGACAATCAGAATTGACAAAGATCTCATCCAATTCTATGGCTCTATTAGCTGAATTGTTAGATAATCATCATAATACATCTGGAAATCTCTCCTGACCTTAACTCAGTATGCAGTGCTGGCTGACATGAATTATGATTTAAAAGGCCCAGGTGCAATGATTTATTGGAAAAACTGAGATTCTGACTAAGATGTTGTCACATCTGTCAAATATTTACCACAGGGACCTTGCCAGGATCATTTTGTGCACACTATGGTCACGAATTCTGCATAATTTATTTTTTATTCCCCTTCTGATCTTTTAAAGACACCTCTCAGTTTCTCACTTTGCACTCAGCCTGAAGGGCAAACGCAAGGCAGCTCCTGCGAGCAGCCTGTGAACTCACTATCCAGTAGCTCAAAGAAACCATTTGCAGGCCTATTCAAACCAAGGAACTAACTTTTCCCCCCCCCTTCAAAGACTGCAAAGCAAGTATCCTGCCTAGTTCATCTATATAGAACTACCTTTTGGTAACATAGCATTAAAAGCTTCAAGATGTTACAAAACATAAGTCATGCAAGTGTAATGTGAGCTGTAAAAAAAAGAAAATGAGTTCTCGGCAGTGAAAATGAACCTGCAATCTTGTAATCAGTAGTATAATTTTCCTTAGTTAAAAAAATTCCTGGAGGGTGGGGGTGTGATGAGGGTTCCAAAAATATGTAATAAAAATATTAAATTAAATCTTCCAGATTTCAATATTTTCTGCCTTCAGATCTGGCTTGTTTCATCAGATTTTTCTTTATAGCTTCTATTACAAAACAAAGTGAAGAATGCTGATGCAACAGGGAATTCATAAATGTTTATTTGCAAAAAGCTGGGTTTGACCAATCCTTTGGGATTTGCAGAAACCCTCATCAGCAGATCTGGGCACCCTCCCCATCAGTCACAGAGTCTTTAGTGAACCAACAGCAACTTTTATTTGACCACCCCTTCGCCAGCAGATAGCGTGACTCGCCCCCAGTGCCCGTGGTGGATTTGGGGACCCCTGCCATGCAGTACCCCACTGCTCGGCTGCACGGGCCCATCGGCAGTTCTGTTGGTGTCACCATGTGGGGACATGGGGATTCATTGCCTGGTGCCCATGGCGCAAGGGGCTGCAGATGCTCATTGTCATTAAAGCCATATTCTGTAGGTTTTACCAAAAAGGGAGGTACCACAGTGAGGCCCCCTGAGCCACCCAGCTGAGGAGCCATTGTGAACCATTTCTACATAGCCCAGGTGGCTCTCAGGGTGCACTTCCATCCCCCAATATTGATTTCCCCTCAAGCAGAGAGGTTTGGTCTATGTTCAGCATTGCCATTGTCAATCGCCCCTTGTCCTTCTCCCCGCCACCAGCTCGGTCACTGATGCCAGAGGAAGATGCTGCCTATTGCAATTCACACACCAGAAACGGTGCCCAGCATCAAAGAGCTGAGGTGCCTTTTTCACACCGTTGCTGACACCAATGTCAGATGTTCATGATGATTTATGCGGCCTGTGATAAAGGAGCTCTTTGGTTGTGGCGCGTGTGGCATTTTTGACGCCCTTATTTGCGGGGTTTGGTTGTGATGACAGGAAAGCTGATGGTTCCTGACATGTACACATCAAACGCTGCACCATAAACATGTCGCCAGCGTTCCTGTGGGTGAAACATCTTGACGCTGTTGCAGTCTATAATCATTTTGTTGACATTAACAGAGAGATCTGTGGGACAGCAAAACAACTTGAGTGATTGGGTGGAGTGAGGTAAAACAATAATTTTAAAGGGAATTATCCATCTGATCACTGGCACAGTTAACCCCCTACTGAAGCATTAACACTGCAAATGCAATTTTTGACAGCTCCTGCCGCCCCAAAGAGAGGTCATGTTTCAGTGGGGATGTTATCCTGCGCTGTTTCCTTCTCTCCACTTCAATATCGTGTTTATCCCCTGCAAAAGGAACCAACGTTCCTGTAGGCAGCTCAAACAAATGAGAAATACATGGCAGTGAAATTCAGTGATCAGGCAAATCTACCCTGTTTGAGATAGGTCCTGACTCTTTCCAGCAGAAAGATTTCACCTCTTGAAGGGCATTTAGGACAGCAGGGAACAATCAGTGCTGCCAAACCCCAGAAGTGCACTATGAAAACGGTGGTGCAGTTTTCACAGGCATTATTGAGCCTATGAGAGGCACCCTTGTGGGATTTAAAGCATGTCTAAGTATTCCAGGTGCCAAATTCACATGGCCTTTTAATAATTATTTTCTTAATTAGATTATTTATGTCTTATTTCTATTCTGGAACATCTAAATCTGAAGTGTGAACATCCCTGCTGTAATGCTCTGAAACTTGGCACCTTGCAGCAGACTTACTAAATGTCACCAGCTAGGACAACAGAGAGCTTATTTTGGTTTAGCTTTTCTAATTGAGGAGACATCACTTTATCTCACAAGATACACCCAGAGTGCAAGTGTGCCCAATTCCAGTGTGAGTTTGAGGTAAGAGGGCTCAGGAGACACAAGAACCTGCCCATCTCCAGAAGGCAAATGCAGCAATTTCAAACTAGAGGGACAAAAAGCAGAATGAAGTCCCAAGGCAAGGCTGGGGATGCTGCTGGCTTCACCTCGTCTACATCCTCATCACCAGCCACCAAAGTGTTCAATGGAAGAAACCGCTGAGGAAGAATGGGCTGGTGTAAGACAGGTCCAAGCAGATTCCTGCACTTGTTTGGCCTATGAAAAGTGACCTTACAGCAACACAACTGTACTAGTATAACCGCTAAAGGGAATGGCAGTTTCAAGGTAATACAACCTTAAAAATTGGCCAGCTCACTTCCCCTCTCATACAGACATGTCCTTACTGAAATAGCTGCAGCCATTCTAATGGATTGAACCAACATCCTTGCAGCAATACCATTTTTTCCATAGACTCAGCATCTGAGCATGGTAGCATCAGCTCTGTTAGCCCCTGTACTGCTCATCATCTATCAAAGATTTGGGAAGCAAACAAAACAATAATCACTTTTCTGCTCCACTGAACACTTGCCACTTCCCAGCCCTCAGTTTTGCAGACAGAGGCCAAGCACAGTTTGTTGTGCAGACTAACATCTCTCAACTGGATACAAACTTCAACAAATTTTGTTGTGCAGAAAAGCAAAAAGCAGAAGTAAACATCAATTATTCTGTTTCAGTGTTTTGAAAACAAAACATTGCCATTTTTCAGTTTGATGTTTCCTCTTAAAATCCAGGGGTGGGGTTGGTACAGTTTTTATTGTGAAAGCTTGAAAAATAAATATAATGATTCCTCTGATGTGAAACAGAACTATCAGCAATTGCTCAGTTCACCAAATACTTGGAACATTTCATTCTTTTGAGACTGACCAGCAACACATTTCCTCTCTTCCATTTTTCTCCCTCACCAGCAAAGCACATTATCAGTCACACAGACAGAACCAGCAGCAGCCCCAGGCGGGCGCGGGTGATCATCATCTTTGAGAACATCACTGATCATTACCATGAGTAAAATAAAGCACAGCCCCTACCTCAAAGAGTGTAACAGCTACTAAATTAGGAGGCACCAGCAAGAAGGAAAGGAGTATTTACCCATTATCATAATCTCTGTGGGGCAGCAGCCATCAGCTCCTCTCCCAGATGCAGACATGCCTGCAAAAGATGCTGCTGTTCCAGGGAGCACATACTCTGTGCACCTTAAACCAAAGCACTTTCCCCCCCACACACACTAAACAGGGCTGTCAGACCATGCAGTTCAATTGTTTCAGCTGTTGCAAATTAGGGAGGACCCTGCAGGCAGAGCCCACTGCCAGCATACCCTCCCGGGGCTAAAAGCCCACTTGCCCAGGTGGCCAGTACAGCACTTGGCCCATGAGTAGTTGACTCTCTCAAGCCATGTCCTCTCTCGCATCCTGAAAAATTGCAGTGAACTGGGAGGGTGGGTGCCACACACCAACAAGCTGGGTTTTTTGGCCCCAATCTGTGACTTCTGAATGTAAAAACAAACCTCATTTCATACAAGGGACTTTTTCATCCTTCAGAAATTTTCTGGGAGAGAAAAAAAAAAAAAGGAATGCTGCCAGGTGAATTCACACCAGGATTTTTTAAATGAAAGAAATTTCTCTGAACACTGAAAAATGTGTTAAATTAGCAGAACCCTCCATACAAGCCTGTCTAGTTTTTATAGTTCTCCATTTTCAGTCAGGGAGCTGGTAGGTGAGTATATATTTTTAACTGAACTACATTTATTCAGATGAGAATTTAGCCTATTTCATTGCCTAGTGATTTTATTCTAATATAGAGAGTAAGAGATGCTCATTCTAAAATGCTCTGCAAACTCTCTATGTTCAGCCATAATAAAGCATGGCCATTTCCAGGCAGAAAAGCACCAAATAAGTTGGTCAGAGACGAGGAATTAGCTTTCTCCTCCAAACCACAGAAAGGTTTGTTTACTTTGGAAATCTGAGAAAAACAGGTGAGAAGTAGAAGCATCTACAGAAGTAGTTAGGCACATCAGATTTTGGGAAGCAGATGTTCAACTCCCCAGTACAGTGCAGCAGGATCAGCCACTGCTATA